AAATGAAAGAAGTCAGATATGCAAAGCCACATATTGTACGATTCATTAATAGAAAATTCACAGTATCATAAAATCTATAGTCAGAAAATAGATTCATGGTTGCTTAGGCTTGGAAAATAGAGAGTTGATAATGAAATGGTAGCCTGCTTCTGAGTTGACAAATGGTCACTGGTGATGGCTGCATATAACTTTGTACTGAAAACCATTTAATTGTATAAATTCAGTGGGGTAATTAAAAGATATGTTAATTATGTATCAATAATGATCTTATTTAAATGGAGAGAAGGAACGAATAGCATGGTAGTCCACATACTTATTGAGAGGAGCAAAGGGTCAAAGAAATCAAATTTTAAGAGCTTCTTGACTTTCTCCACAAAGGGATCTTGTGGGTTGTTGAGGGAATCGATGTTCACTCCAAATGATGTCGCAGTGATCACATCCATGCTGTAGGCCCCAAAGATGCTGAATAGAGAAAGACATGGAAAGTTAAAATCAGTGCCTCTTCCCAATCCTTCCACTACACGTGCAGCAAGAAGTAGGAGTAAGTCCACATGCCCAAGGAAGACAAGCAGAGAGCCACACACACTCAGTTATCTGCTGGACTATCAAATGAGTCTATGATCCCTTCACATGACTATGAGACCTTTATGAGTTGCAAATGAAATACTGCCCTTGTGCCAAGAGTGATGGGGACAGTGAGTTGAGTTAGACTCACCTCTGAACTCAAGAAGTTCACCCACACAGGGATAAGTTCCATAATCAAACAGACTACAGTAGCACAAGTAGAATGAGGATGATGGATAGTTGTGTACAAACTGAGCTTCAACAGGACAAGAGTGGAGGTATTGACTCAAAAAAGTGACCTTGACCTTGACAATATTTTCTCTTCTAGTATATTCAAAGTCATAAATAGCAGCAAAATAAACCTTGGCAGATAGGAAGAGATCCTTTCTCCCCCAGCTGTCCTGTCTCCTCCTAGGAGCAGCTCCTCCTTGGATGAATAGTTGGAGTTGTGACTCCAAACTCTTGCTTTGTCTGCTCATTGCACTAGCTCAGCAGTTGGGATTCAGTTCTGTGTCAGGCAGTTGGAGGGGCTCCTGCTGGAGCTTGGAATGCCAGAGCTGCCCTGCTACTTACTCTTTCAAGTTGATAAACTTGCCCTTCTCTGATTCCAGTCTCATGTTTTTCACCAACACATCTCCATACTGGTTAATGATGGGGAACATCTATGCACAAAACACAAGATTGTCCATAGTTAAGTGAGGAG